ACGGGTGTGCCCCTCCCTGCTGCCTAATGACAGAGGAGTCCTAGGCTATTTGTGTGGGCGCCCTGAGGTTAAGGTCAAAACCTGGAGACAGCTCCAAACAAACCACGGAGAAGCAGCAGCCTATTATTAAGTCTGAAGGCAAACAAAAGCAGAAGTCCCTTCCCCATTCACTTGGGGAGGCTGAGGGAGAACTCTTCATATCACATTTCTCTGAGGCTGAGTTTTTCCTTACGTGGTCCACTGACTCACTTCTTTTTAAATAGTGACAAGAAGCAACAGAAAATGACCTCAAAAGATGATACTTCTCTACTCTGATCCTCAACTTATCTTCTGGCCCTTTCTCTGCAGCATTAGCACAGGCTAAGGTCATAAACAATTCCTGGGAAATGGGCTTTCACTGGAATGAACTCCCAGTCTGGAGCCTGCCCTGTACCTAGCAAGCAGCGTCTAAGGCAACTCACCACTTCCCTGCCTCCCTCGGTGTTCAGTCTGACAATAGAAGTTTTTTGCAAGGGGCAGTTACAAGGTGGCCCTAATTTCTAGTTGAAGAGAGGAGTGTTGTCCACTTAAAACACTTACAGCGATGGGCTCAGCCTCAGAAATGTTGCGTCCTGTACACCACGCCGGGGAACATCAGGCTCCTTGGCCAAGTGGACAGGCTATTTCTGGAGGCTCAATGGCCCCAGGATGAATGATCCAATTCTCCCTGTAGCCTAAAATGTGGCACAAGCCCATCTCTAGAGTTAAAAGTGAAGGGAAGCAAGAAGTGGCGTCTCTGTTTCCTGCTGGGGCTGTGGCTGTTTCGCTTCCTGTTAGTTTCTTCTCAGCTGAGAAAGAAAAGGGAGGGGGGCTGAGAAGAGGAGGTTTTGGAAGAAAAGTGGAGACTGGAAAATCCTCCAGGCCTTCTTGATGAGGTTTAAGACTCGCATGTGATGTGTGAAATGAGTTGGCCAGGAGTCAGAGCTCCGAGAAAGTGCTGTGTTGGTCCTTCTGGGGTTTTGCACACCAACCCTGCCGGCTCTGGCGGTGGAGCATGAAGTTCTTGGCGAGGTTGGAGACCCAGCTGGAAAGCTGCGGGGGCTGGGACATTAGGGGGCTGGGTGGGCCTGATCTGTTACCATCCTCCCCTTCCACTCTCCCCCCTCCCCCTGCTCAGGGAGGGCAGGAGCCCAGTGTGGGTGGCCTCTGATAAGTATCTACTTGGAGCAGAAGATGAGGCTGTGACAGAGAGCCTTCCCATGGCCAGACGCTGCTCAGAGCCCGTGTAAAAAGGAAGGACAGTGGCACATTTTGGTGCAGCTTTGCTCTAAGCATCCCCCCCACCACACCTCGCCCCCAGTAAGCAGACCAAGGGGAAGAGCATCGGGCAGCCTGACAAAGCCGTCCTGCCTCTGGGCTTGAGGGGTCAGCAGTCCATCCTCCTGTCTCCTACCTGTACTTGGAGTCCCAGCCTCCATCTGTAACATGTAGTTAATAGTGTCTCGCTGGTGGGGCTATTAGGAGGGTTAGAAGGAACATACGTAGATTCTGGGGCAATAAAGGAACTGACCCAAGTACCTTTGGAAAATGGTGTTTTCAACTAGAAACCAAATGGCAACCTTCCTCCCAAGTTGTGCTGGGGTTGCCACAGTGATCAGCTGGGCCAGGACAGTACACCATAGTCCTGCTGCTGCTCAATGAGCTGTCTCACCAGAACATGCATCAACAGTGCATGGAAAATCAGTCTAGTGAATTACTATGGCTGAGTAACAGATCACCCCAAACCTTAGTGTGTGAAGCTGCTCACAGTTCTGAGGGTCAGGAATTCAGGCAGAAGATGGCCAAATTCACAGGTGGTGGCTTTTCTCCGCCCTGACAAGTCTGGGACACCAGTTGGAAGATTCAAAGGCTGGAAGTCAGAATCATCTGATGGCATATTCATTCACATGGCTGGTGGCTGGCTGGGATTTTTGCCAGAACTGTTGGCTGGAACACCTCCATGTGGCCAAGGCTTCCTTACAACACTGCAGCTGGGTGCAGAGGAGAGTAGAGAGACAGAGAGAACCCAGAGGAAGTGATATTGTTTTCTATGACCTGGCAAAGTCTCCAAGCATCACCCCTCTGCATTCAGTTGCTGGAGGTTGTTACAAAGTCTGGAAGAGGGACTCTGTCTCTCAATGGAGGACTGTCAGTTTCACATTGTAAGAAGAGCATGTGAGATGGGAGCACTGATGTGGTCATGTGGGGAAAATACCTCCAGTCACCCAAAGCTGCACCTAATCTTCACTTTCCTTAAAGTGACCACTGCTCCCACTGGGATGTGACTGCTTCCTTTGTGCCTCTACATTCATACACAATATAGGCTTGGTTTAGGGTTTTGTGGAGAGGGGTTACATGTTTAGTTTTTACATACGTGGGATTCACTTATCTCTTGCTTTTTTCACTTAACATGAACTTACTAATACATGTAGATCTCTTTATTGCAGTATAGTATACCACAATTTGGTTATGGTGTAATTTATTTAAATACTGCTTTATGTTGATGGATCTTTGACAAGTTTCTTTTTATTTTCTATTATGAATACTACTGTAATAAATATTTCTTGATGTGCTATTTTATTCACTTAGCACAAAATGTGAATGCTTCCCAGGAAGGGATGTTAATTGCTGAGTTGAAAGAGCCTGCTTTTCATTGTAATTGGTGCTACCAAATTTCCCTTGAGAAAGGCAAGCCATGCACTTACAGGTAGAATATAAACATATTCATTTCATTTTGTTCTCACCAGCACTTAACAACTGTCAATCTTTTTAATTCTTGTTTGCCTTGTGGGTGAAAACAATATACTATATAGCATGTGTTTTTAATTTGTCGTTTCCTTCCTAGAGTTAGGTTGAACATCTTTTCATATGTTTATCAGCCATCTGCCCTTCTCCTGGGGATTGCTTATTCATTTCCTTTACTGAACTATTCATTTCAGTTTTACTAAAAAGCAGAGAAGTGGAAACTGAAACAGCGAGTTTTTTGTTTTTTTCTTAAGCAATGAAATTAAAAAGATTCTCAATGCTCATGTTGACTGATGCATTTAAGTTTAGAAAAGCCATCCTATAATAACAAATGTTAATTTATATTTTCTTTCTAAATATTTTACATTAGAAAGTAACCCCAGAGTCACATGATATTAGTTTTAATTGTTTTATATGAGGTAAGGCCAAAGTTGATTTTTTTAAAAATGAATAAAAATGTTCAGTGTCATTTATTAACTGAGTCTTTTTTTTCCTCCTAGACCTTTATTTACTTCATCTCTTAAAAATTCAAATATTAATACATAACGTGATCTTTTTCTGGACTACCTTTGTCTTCCATTGATCTATTTAATTTTTTTGCTCTTACTGTTTATTTTTATAAGGCAAGTCTCTTGATTTATTAAGGGAGAAAGAATACACTTACAGTGTTTCCTCTTCCTGCCAGGGAGCTCTGTCTCTTTATAGGTGCAAGTGTGACTCTCCTTCACTCAGTAAAGCTCTGTGGCATTTTTCTTTACATAGTGGTTTCTAGTTTTGGAGAGGAGAATATTCCTAGGTGCTGTCTGTGCTGGCGGTGGTTGTGTTGCTTTGGGGATTATTTTCAACCAATCATCATCTGAGCTGTTGAGAATTTGGGATCCAGAGGAACTGAGTTGGTGAGACTGAGCAGGGGTTGGAGGGTTATGAGGAGAAATGTTTTGGGGGAAGTGTGCTCAAGACATCTTGGAGGAGAGAGAGATGGCAAGCTGGAAGAAGTGTCGGAGCGCCTGAATGTGGAGTGAGGTTTGTGCAGGTGGAGAAGCAGGAGGGGACTCAGAGTTGTGGGATGAGAACCAGCTTGCCTTGGGACTGCAGGGACCTGAGGTACAGAGAGAAGGCAACTCCTCTAGACAGACTCGCCCTTGTCGGCCCATCCAAATACATCCAACATGTTCGCCCACTATTTATTCATTAATTTGACAATAATCTCTGGAATCCTTGTGAATGTGTCAATGTATTCTACTAGATTCTGGAGATATAATGGGGGAAATGAATGAATGATGTCTCTCTCCTCATGGAGCTGACATTTAAGTAGCAGCAGATGAATGCTTGGAAGTGGTTATGACTGTACACACACACATCATAGAGTCTAAGGGGAATGGATTCCAGAAGGTTCTGACAGGAGTTGTTTCAGAGACTGCAGAGAAGCGTGAGCCACGTGGGGCCTAGGGGTGGGCACTCCTGGCAGAAGGAAGGGTAGATGCAAAGCCTGGGGGCAGGAGCATCCCTGATGTGTGCCTGAGTCCCTAGACCTGAGCGAGGGTAAGCAGAGAGCGGGGAGACATGAGGAGGCACCTGGGTACCCAGGCCCGGAGCGCCAAAAGCCCTCATGAGCCAATGGTGGGGACTCTGAAGCAGTGAGGAGGAGGCAAGATTTCGGTCACCTGCTGCCGCCACAGTTCAAGGGAGGCCCACTTTGATGTTGGGTGATGATCGTATGTATGTGAGCGTGTGTGTGGTTAAGCGAACATGGTCTGAATTTGTGTGTGTGTGTGAATGTCTGTGTGTTTATGTATGTTTGAGTGTATGTGTGCCTGAGTGATTATGTGTGTCAGCATGAGTGTATGTGTATTCACGTGTGTATAAGTGTCTGCATGTGTATTTTTAGGCATTCGTGTCTCTGTGTATGTACATGTGTTTGTGTGTGTGTGTGTGCGTGCGTGTGTGCATGCGCAGTTTATGTCTGCGTCTCTGACAATACACAAAGCAGGGACGGTCCTGGAGGGAATGAGATCCTGATGGGGAGCCTCTCCTGGCAGCCTGGCTGGGGCTCTGTCCTGGCCACGGGTCACAGAACACACCAAAGTCACTGATGAGGTCACAGAATAAAGCCAGGAGCCTAGTGACCACGGGCACCTAGCAGCCACTTGGGCTGAGGCCAGCGGAGGCTTCAGCACTGGCCGAGCCAACTCTCGCCCAACAGCTGGAGGTGTGTGCCCCCGGGCACTGGGGTCATCATGAAGCACCACTTTCCAGACCGTAGGGGAGAACAGTCACCCATGGACCAGTCCACCCTCAGCCTGGCCAGCCCAGAGTCCATGGAGGAGAGCACAGAAGTGCACCGGGCAGGTCGGTGGAAAGAAAGGGTGTGGCTGGTGTGTCCTTGAGAGGACAGGGGTCCTGGAGGGGAAGGGGAATGGAGGGCAAGGCACCAGGTCACAACTCAGTGTTGGCACCAAAGTCCTGTGTTGGCCATAAACATGGACCATGGGTTTACTGGGGCCCTGTTGTGAGTACACAAGGTGATTTCAGGAGGTATGAGGGTGACATCCTAAAATGTGAGTCATATATTTGAACTTACTTTGAAAAAACCAGAATTGATGTGCCAATTCTGTGATTTCAGCAATGATATAAAAAGTCCCTTTATAATAAATGGATGAAAGTTAATCCGTAACATCATTTTGAAGTGGCCATGGGTAGCACCCAAGGGTCACACTATGTTTGGGCCAAGGTACTGGCACCAGCTCTATCAATCATTTCAATGCTCTGTGCCTCAGTTTTCTAACTTGTCAAAAATCAGAACAATGCAATTTCTTAGGGTTGTTTGAATACTGAAGGAGTTAAAATATGATAAGCACTTAGTGTTTATATGGTGATGGGATCCAATGAGGGTTTCAAGGAAAGTGTGAGATTCCCCTGGAGGAAGATGAGACATGTCCCACAGGTTCCTAGGGGAAGGTAGGGTTGACTGGTCTGGCCAAAGCACTCCCCCTGCCAGGCTTTATTGAGCTGTGATTCTCATATACAAACCACATCAGTTTTGTGTACAATTTGAAGAATTTTGGCAGGTACACATTTGTTTAACCACTATCGATACCATAATGCAGAATATGTTCATCAGCCTCCAAAAGTTCTAGTGACACTTTGCAGTCAGTTCCCCTGCTGCCGTTAGCTCCAGGTAACCCCTGTTCTGTTCTCTCTCCCTACAGTTTTGCCTTTTCTAGAATGTCATCTAAATGGAATCAAATACTCTATGACCTTTTCACCGTAAGTTCTTTCATTTAGCAGAATGCTTTAGGGACTCATCAATGTTTGGCGTGCAACAGTAGTTCATTTCTTCTTATCAATGAAGAAGATTGTGCTGTCCCACAGTCTGTATTCAGGTGGTGGCCCTTTGGGGTTTAGTCAAGGGCTTAGATATTACATTCATACACTATTTGATCTTTGTCATCACATCCATAAGGCGCAGCTACATCTCTACATTTGATCCTTATCATCACCCCAAAAAGAAAGTGTATATCATCCTTAATTTATGGGGAAACAGGCCCGGAGAGAAAAAGTGCCTGCCTGGGGCCCCCAGAGCTTGCATCCTTTCAGAGACCTGAAGTAGGTTGTGGCACTGATAAAAATGTCCTTCTACTTCCCAGGGCCCGTGAAGAGAGAGCAGCTGTCTCCACGGCCAGGCCCAGCCATTCCCCATGCAGAGAACATCTACTTCTCGGGCAGGGGTCGGGGGATGTTGAGCTGGAGCAGCTCGCCATCATCCCAGTCATCCTCTGAGTACCAGTCCTACTCCCAGTACCAGTCTTGCTATTCCTGCACTTATGGGGACCAGGACGCTGCCCAGCAGAGCATGTGTGCCTTCTACACCCACGTGCAGACCGTGCAGGGTGTGGCTGTGGCCTGGGAGACTGACAGTGGCTTCGAGCCAGTCACCCGACAGCCCCGCATCCACGAAGCTGAGTTCATCAAGAGGCAGAGGCGGAAAGGCTCCTCTTTTGAGATGGCTTCCAATACGGACCTGCGCTGGGAACTGGAAGCCAGCAAGAACAACACCAGCTCAGAGCCAGAGGACACGGAGCTGCTGGCGCCCCTGGAGTGCTGCCTGCAGGAGCTGCGGGACACCCCAGACTGGCTGGTCACCACCAACTACGGGCTGCGGTGCGTGGCCTGCTGCCGGGTCTTCCCCACGCTGGAGGCACTGCTGGAGCACGCCCAGTATGGCATCCAAGAGGGCTTCAGCTGCCAGATCTTTTTTGAGGAGATGCTGGAGAGAAGGAGGGCCCGGGACCAAGGGCAGGAACAAGAGCCAGAGGAGGCGCAAGAGAACGCTTCGGACAACAGTGAATGTCCAAGGCCCCGTGTCAAGCTGCCTTCGTCACAGTCACAGTTGCAGAAGCACTGAGCCGGAGGTATGTGCCCTGTCCTGTCTTCACCTCCAGCACCTCAGTCACTCCTTCCCCGGCCATCAGGACCAGAGCCACCGGGGCAGGGAGAAAGGATGAGGGCCGGGGAAGGAAGCGAGCAGATTGTAGAGGTGGGAGGGCCGTGAGGACGTCGGGGAAGTCACCCTCCCAAAGGGCACAGCATTTCAACCAGAATCCATTTCAAAACGTGAATCAAGTGTTTCTTACAGTGGATGCAAGACCTGAAAACCCGCAAGCTTGTGGCCACAGGGATTTCTATTTTTGCTGGTAGGTCAAGCAGGTCATGACTCGCAGGAGAGACAACTACAAATGAAACTTCAGCCCTATTTTTTTCATTGTTAGGAACTCATCATAGGCCCTAATTCTATATCTTATTTTATTGGAATTAAACTTGAATAACCGAAAGTTTAAGGCAATGACTAATGGAGTGAATCATGTTATTGGGTTGGACCCACAGGACATTGCCATTTCTGCAGGTTACCCACTGGCAAGGACATCTTGAGAATGGCAGGTTCCCAGAGGTAGAGATGGGGCTGGATAAGTCCTGCTGACCCTGAGTTCAGATATGTTTTAAAATATTCAGAACTGTTTTAAAATATTGCTGCAAAATTTGCCTTTGCCCTTTCATGGGGCTGTATTCTTTCAGGAAAATATTTGGTGGCCCACTGTGTGTTAGGCATGCTGATGGGCATGCAGTCCAACTTGCAGTGAGAGGTAGCTAGGATAGGCAATTGCAAAGGGAAGGGAAGGGCTCCCAGTGGAAGGCTCCCAAACTCATGCTGGTTGATAAGGAAAAAGAAAACTTTCCAAAGAGGTTGATGCTCACAAAGATTTGGAGGACAGGTAGAATTAGTGAGACCAGGAGTTTTCTTCAGATCAACAAAACTAAGAAAGACGGTTTCTAGGAGTGGGTGAGCCTTGTTAATAGTAAGAGCAAGTGGTATAGAGCTGAGGCTAAAGCATTTCCTATCCTTTGTACATGGAGATTGCCGATGGCTATAGGAGAGCAGGGTTGGAGACTGAGGGGGGCAGGAGCCAGACGGGCATGGAGCAGTAGTGAACACACACACACACAAACGCTAGACACAAACATTAGCCAGCTCTGCTAGCAAGTTTGTCTAAAAAGGAAAGCAATGGTGGTTTAGCTGGACAAAAGGAAATTGCAAAAAGGCAAAGATGGGGAGAGAGAAAGTTTATATGCTAGTGGGAATGATCCAGGGGAGAGGGGGAGGCTGAGAGTGCAAGAAAAATGAGAAAAGAGGAGTCAAGTAAGTGAGAGGAGACTGGATCCTGACCAGATGCAGAGACCAGCCCCTGCAGACAGCCCCTTCATGTCCTCTCTCATAGGCACATGGGCAGTTAGGTCACGTAAGACTTGGGAGCCAAAATGACGGAACTTAATTTTTTTTCCTGTGGAAACTGCAAGGAGCTCTTGAGGAATTTTAAGCAAATCAGGTTGGCCTCTGTGAAAGATCTTCTGGTGAGCAGGGTCAAGAATGGATGAGAGCACATCACTGGTGACAAGGGGTGCAGTTGAACAGTTGGAGGCAGGGTGAGTTCACAAGACTTAGGAGCTGGGAATCACAGGTTTGGGTAAGTGTTTGATGAGGTGGTGAGAGAAAGTTGTCCACAATGACTTCCAAGTTTTGTGCTTTTCCACTTGTGCGGTTGATGAGTGTAGGTTCTATTTTGGAACACCAAAGGATAAGGTTTGCTGGGATGCCGATGAGCCCACTTTTGAATAAGCTCAGTTTGTGATAGAAACCTTTGGAAGGGAGCTAGTTAGAAGGATCTGGGACTTGGAAGAACGTTAAATGAGATGGAGATAGATTTGTGGTCATCTATGCAGGTGTGGTTACTATGGTGCTTTATGTGGCCTAGTGTTAGATGCATTCTCTACAGGTCCCAGTGCAACAGGAGCCGTGGGGTCATTTTGGAACAGATGTCAACCATGGGAATGATATCTCAGCACCATTTGCAAGATGTGGCAGGGGCAGAGACTTTCTCAATTCACTTTGAAAGAGGCTAGAGGATCCTCAGGGAGAAAAAAGGGATAGGACAATGGTTCAAACTTTGTCAAGATCTTATCAGAAGAACTATGTGGTGTTTGAGGGAGTCTAGTAGGCAGGCGGAGAAGGCAATGGCAACCCACTCCAATACTGGAAAATCCCATGGGCAGAGGAGCCTGGTAGGCTGCAGTCCATGGGGTCGCTAAGAGTCGGATACGACTGAGCGACGTCACTTTCACTTTTCACTTTCATGCATTGGAGAAGGAAATGGCAGCCCACTCCAGTGTTCCTGCCTGGAGAATCCCAGAGACAGCGGAGCCTGGTGGGCTGCCATCTGTGGGGTCACACAGAGTAGGACACGACTGAAGTGACTTAGCAGCAGCAGCAGCAGTAGGCAGGCGGACTTCCCCGGTGGCTCAGCGGTAAAGAATCTGCCTGCAATGCAGGAGACCTGGGTTTGATCCCTGGATCAGGAAAATCCCCTGGAGGAGGGCATGGCAACCCACTCCAGTACTCTCGCCTAGAAAATCCCATGGACAGAGGAGCATCGCGGGCTGTAGTCCATAGGGTCGCACAGAGCCAGCCATGACTGACTAAGCAGGAGCAGTAAGCAGGTAGACTCTAAGGACAATCTAGGAGGAAGAAGCTGAGTTAGAGTGAGCACTGGTAAGGAGGAGAACTTTTCTATTTAGAAATTAGTTGCAAAGGAAATAAAATGAAGCATAGTATCTAAGCTCTGGAATTTCAGCTTTTAAAAGACAAATGTATTTTTGTGTTAAACACAGATATTCTAAGGGCCAAACATTGTTCTAAACACATTACGAATATTAAGTCCTGTAATGCTCTCCACAATCCAGTGAGGGGTAGGTCTTATGATTAGTCCTGTCCTATAGGTGAGTAAGCTGAGACCTTGAGACCTTACACGGAGAAGCCAAATTTTAACATAAAGACAGATGCAAGGTATTTATAAAAGCAAACATGTCAACTCCACAGGTTGTATTTTCTTTGGATTAAATAGTAGCAGCTGGAGGTCAGGGGAAAAATAACGGGTGTTCAGGAAAAACGAAAGATGACAAGAACCATGGGGAAACAAATTTCTAATGTAGGGGATAACTTTAGCTGACATGGATGAAGGAAGGATGGGACAGAATTTTTCTTAAGATAATGACTTATTTTGACCCAGCAATCCCACTTCTGGGCATACACACCGAGGAAACCAGATCTGAAAGAGACACGTGCACCCCAATGTTCATCGCAGCACTGTTTATAATAGCCAGGACATGGAAGCAACCTAGATGCCCATCAGCAGATGAATGGATGAGGAAGCTGTGGTACATATACACCATGGAATATTACTCAGCCATTAAAAAGAATTCATTTGAATCAGTTCTAATGAGATGGATGAAACTGGAGCCCATTATACAGAGCGAAGTAAGCCTGAAAGATAAAGACCATTACAGTATACTAACACATATATATGGAATTTAGAAAGATGGTAACGATAACCCTATGTGCAAAACAGAAAAAGAGACTACTATGTATAGAACAGACTTGTGGACTCTGGGAGAAGGCGAGGGTGGGATGTTTCAAGAGCACAGCATTGAAACACGTATATTATCTAGGGTGAAACAGTTCACCAGCCCAGGTTGGGTGCATGAGACAAGTGCTCGGGCCTGGTGCACTGGGAAGACCCAGAGGGATTGGGTGGAGAGGGAGGTGGGAGGGGGGACCGGGATGGGGAATACATGTAAAAAAAAAAAAAAAAAAAAAGATACACTATGGTTGTGATAAAATAAATAAATCAATTAATTAATTAAATTAAAAAAAAAATAAAACATATCTTAAATTCTGCTCAGGAAAGTATTCATTTGTGGTTTAAACTTATCATTTTGTAGAGACCTGGGACCTCCACCAAATAAGACAAGGATCAGGGTGAGTAAGGGGAGCCTTTCCAGAGGATTGTGGGATCTCAAACGTTTTAGATCTTGAACCACTTTACACCCTTTATTTTCCCAGACTATAAACAGAGATGGAACTTGTTTTATGAAATTTACAGAAATGTGATAACAAAGCCTGATAAAGATGGCGCTGAAAGAGTGAACAATATATTGATCTCACTTAGAAACACTAAATGATATCAAATCAAATTTATAGTGTGGAAAGAACAATTCACCAAGACATGACGGTAAAGACAAAATTAAATCTAACAATACTTCATATGGAAAGAAGGATCTTATGATAGTTTCAGTAGATATCAAAAAGAAAAATATTTAAAAACCCATATATTTATGGTCAATTGTTTTTCACCTATGGTGCCTAGATAATTCAACTGGGGAAAGGATAATCTTTTCAGCCGAAGCAACTGAATAACTGTATGCAAAAGAGTGAAGTTGGTATGGTACCTCATACCATACATAAAAGTTAAAATAAAAAGATCTAAATGTAAGAGTTAAAACTATAAAATTCTTAGAGGAAAACAGAGGTGTAAATCTTCATGATCTTGGATTAAGCAGTGATTTCTCTTAGATATGACACCAAAAGCACAAGCAAACAAAAAATATTTAAATTGGACTTCATGAAAGTTAAAAACTTTTGTGTTCATAAAATATTATTAAGAAGGTGAAAAACAATCCACAAAATGGGAGAAATAGTTGCATATCAAATATCTGATAAAGATCTAGTATTATCCAAAATATATAAAGATTTTTATAGCTCGATAAAAAACAAGCATCCCAATTAAAAAACTGGAAAAATTTGAAAAACATTTCTTCAAAGGAGATATATACAAATGACTAATAAACATATAAAAATATACTCAAATCATTAGTCTTTACAGAAATGCAAACCAAAACTACAGTGACATGCCTATAATAAAAATAAAAATAAAGATATAATAAGAAGCATTGGTGAGGATGTGGAGAAATTAGAACCTCATACATTGCTGGTAGGAATGCAAAATGATGCAGCTA